ATATGAACAGACTAATTACACACAATCATTTGCATGAATGACTAGACATATTTACATAATAAAAAAATCAGGAGAAAACAGAACTGATTAGGGAAGCAAATTAATTTTGTAAGTGAGATGACTGAACTTACCTAGTGGGAGGTCCTTATCATCTCCTCAGATTCTATTTGAGTTCTTAAAATTTGTATCTGCCAGAACAGTGCAGGCACTCCACTGGCTTCTAGAGCACAGCAGCCACAGCTGTCTTTGGGTCAAGAAAGCCAGGGGTTTGCACTTATCTTTTTGGCAGTCAGGAGCAGTGCTTGGTGAACACCACACAATGACACACGAGTTGAGGCAGCCATGACAATGAGAAGACAACAGCTGCTGCTTGCTGATATTGCCACGAAATGTTGCAAATCAGCCAAATAGAGAGACTGCTCCATTTGTTAAGTACTATCAAGTTCTCCTGCAGCCTCAGTAACATGATCACCATTTTCCAGTCACCTAGTAATTGTCTTCAAAGAAATCAAAACAGTCATCTTTCTTACTGTGTCAAAGGATTAATTCTGATCCTCCTTATTTTACAGCACTAACTCAAATGAATTCAGCAAGCTATTCCTGAGATAGGAATGTGCTCAGATTTTCAAGATAATTGCCCCTTACTTTGATGGACATAATTTTTGCAAGCTAACTGAAAGCATTTATGCACCATCACACAGGAACTGATCCTTCTGGGCAGAATTCTAGTTAAATAAAATACAGTGAACGAAATCTTTTGATTTTTTTTTTTTTTCTTAGACAAGTCTTAGTCATTTTTTGCTTAGCTGTTTTAAAGTATCATACTAGTATTTAGTAAAAATCGGTTTATCCATGTGAATTTTAGTATTTAGCCTTCCAAAGACAATCCTGAATAGACAACACCATAAGAGCATGGTAGTAAAGTGACTAGTAGGTTTAAACTATAAGAATTTATACTTTACCCACAAAACCTGACAGCTCGACTCCATAATGGACAAGAATTCCCAAGAAAGAAAGGTCACTCTGAAAGGTCTTTTCCTGAGAAGTTTATAAACTGATAAACAAAGGATAGTGTAGATATGCCACATACAAAGGGCAACATGGAACATATACCTTAAGCACAACACATAACCCAGCATACACCAGATGATTGACTGTTGTCCTCAAAGTGGAAAGAGAGTTCATGTGCATGCAAGAGTGAGCATTTTTATACACTGCATGAATAAAAGTCTTCACTAAAAGAAAAATTTAATTAAGATAATTCTCAGACACTCTGGATATTTATAGTAAAGATATATAAAGTAATCCTTTAAGCACATGATTGCCTACACAATCCATTCTTTGTTATGGGGACCACACCTTCAAGATGTGGTCAAGATGTTAGAAATGGAGAATGTTACAGAAAGAAAGGAAAAAGAAATTTAATTCTCCACAACAAACTTCTTCTCACTGACAATACATAACGAACAATTACTAGATTGGCTTTGCAGGAAGATGTATGTTTTGGTTGTCCTAATTGTACTTCCAAAGCCAATCAAGAAATAAAGAACAAGATTGGTTGTTGCTATTCTACACCAAAAAGCAACCTATCTGATGGTGGAGAGGATTACACTTGGGTTTTTTATCTTTTCCAAACAGAATTCACTCTATAAACTGCTTATATGTTTTTATAACCACATCATACTGGAGGCTGCTGTTCACTGACAGGAAAATTTCTTTGGGAGAGAAGAACCACAAGCAACTAAAACCACTGCACAGGGATTTCCTGAATTAAAATAAACATCACCATACATTCTAACCTCCAAGACAGGTGAAGAAAAAATTGTCTGCCATTGTACTGAAAGGAAAATTCCTCTAAAAGCATCAAAGGTCTTCTTAGGCAAATTAAACTCAGACAAAACCACAACATACATGCCTGCTATAATCTTTTGATGCAACGGCCAGTTTCTATCAAATCTGAAATGGACACAGGCTGAGGGAACAGTGGTGAGTGCACTAGTTCATACTGCATCTGTTGCTTCTTCCTCACACAGACATATGACAAACTGGGAAGGAAGTTGTGATAAATAAGGGAGCTGAGGAGGAATCCTGTTATGTGAAAGAACTGCAGCAATGCACAACTGTTAGATGGCAATAGGACTGGGGATAATAGCTGCTAATGCAAAACATACACAGTGTAGGAAGGTGAGGAACAGGGTAAAATCTTGAATGACAGTTTGTGAATATATATTTGTAAATTTGAAGCCATGTGTAGCTTTGAAACTTAAGGAACACGTGCACCATGACCTTCACTTGTCCACATTTTAAGAACCACCAGAGTGCTGCAGGCCCCACTCAATGTGAGCATGCCACTATGTTTGACAGGCACTGAACTCACTGGTCTGCCTTTAACCAGATTCCCTTGTGAATAGCTTTAAGGTATAACTGAAAAAATACTAAGCTTCACAGGATACTAACTCTTTTTATACAATCAGAAGGCGGATGATTAGCTAATAAAATACATTAAAATAATATCAGGCACAGACAGAAGGAAATAAAACATATTTCTGCAAAAGAGATTAACACAGATGTTTCAATGGATTAGGAAGTTTCCATGACAGAAGGTATATTTAATATATAAAATCCATATAATGAGAAGCAGTGAAAAAATTAGGACAACTGTCACGTGTCCAAGAAATATCTTCATAAAAAAAGCTGCCAAATAGAAACACTTCTCAGCAACAAAACACTCTGCAACTGAACAAGGCAAATTTAATTCAGAATTTACTATGTACTTCATGATAACTTTATAATTACAAATATCCCTGAACAACTGGATCTCTCCAAATTGATAAAACACCTTCTCCTGTTAGATATCTCCTTTCTGGCATGTACAACTAGTTGGTCATAAAGACCGTTGTTGGCTTATTCTAGCAAAAGTACAGTTAAGAAGGAGTACAACCAATGTGAATAAATAGACTCAGAGCCAAACACCCGAGAAGGTAAGAACTAATTAAGCTCAAGGACCATGTTGGCCTAAGAAGAAATGATAATAAATTGGTCATGAAGAAATTCAGGTTGGAAACAAAACAGCCTGTTGTTTTCAGATAAAATTTCACAATTAGTGATTAGGATGACCTGTCTGTTTTCAGTAACAAGGGACTGAACTCAAATGATGCAGGATGTCCCCCATTTCCAGTCATATGTCCTAAAACCACAATAAATTTTAACACTTTTGAAAAATAACCATGTTAAATCCTGCAATATATCACTGAAAATAATATAAGCAATAAATAATAAAAAAAAACACCTATAAGCTCATATGGGAATAAATTTCCAAAGGTTTAAAAACTGATTTGCATAGTTAAAAAAAAACAAATATCATTCAAGTTATGAGAGGCCATGAAGGTTTCTTTCCAGCAAGAGGTAGGGCTAAGGTATATCTGCCTAAACCCCTAAACAAACTCTGGAAGATCCTTTCAGTTCCTACCAATATTCCTTATTCTTGGTCCTTCCCAATAATTGAGGAGAGGTAAGTGCACACATTGAATCCCTTACCATCACAGAACATACGTATCAATCTTCTTATCTTTGATGCCTTCTGAATTTTTTTTTTATTCTCCCTGCCACAAAGGCTCAAGAAAATAATACAGAAGAATAACCAATGCTCATACAGGATATCTCAAACCAGTCTAAAGCCTGGCCCATTCATTGGCCTCTTTCACTCACTTTGGTAAATTTTATACAAGAACCTATTGAAAACAGACAAAATTTACCAAGTACATTCAGAATATTCAATGTCCTGTTTCACAAGGTGCTTTTTTTCCTAGCTATGAAACTAGCAAACTCTGCATAAGGAAAGTTCACACTAGGTAGGTGAACCACTGCATCCTTGTAATAGACTGATTTGTACTTCTTAATGAATCATTAAACAGTTGTTCTGTTCTAAGTTGATCCCCCATCAGATTCCAAGCTTTTGTCTCACCTTTTACGAATTCTAATTAATTGTATTTTAGTCACTAAATACAATGGCATTTTCATTTGAGTATCTTTTGTAATACTCATGTTCAAATGCCTTTTCAACTGATCCAATTTTGTTTCTGAAAACACAGAACAAATTAACTGCATTATTTCACCTGAATTTTTTTTTTTTTCTTTCTTTCTCTATCCTCTTTTTTATTATGGTTAAAAAAAAACCAAAACCACAAACACCCCCCCCAAATACATACAATGTCTAAATAAGAATACCCTTGCTAAATTACCTTCTTTTTCCCCAAAAAGTCCATTATTTAACACATATTCAGCTCCTACACAGTGTACATTCAAACACTTCTAGTTCAGGAAGCCCTGACCATATCATCACATACACTCTCTGGACAAAAGTATACCTAAATATTTACAAAAAAGCAAAAGGAGATGCTGATCACTGCCCGTATAGTGATCACTTGTGTTTTTTGATAGTGATACCAAAGTATACACTTTATTACTGTTGCTTTGCTTTATTAAAAATATTAAATTATTTGGGGGAACAAGAAATATCATCGGATGGGTAGAGTTTTTTTTCAGCAAAACAAAGTCCTTTTCAGTTTGAACTACTTTTCACACTAATTTTCACTTCAGACTGAACCAGAAATCAATTATTCACAAGGTTCTAATCTGAAGTTATTAAAAATGGCTTTGTGCTCTCAGAGCTCCTCTTTCCTATCTTTCTTTCGTTAAAGGAAAATACTTTATAAAAAATATATACATTTTTTCATGTATACATATATTCACTACTATATTCCAATTTACAGACTGCAAATTTCTCAGTAATTACTGGAAAAATACGGGCAACTTATACGGGTGGAAAGCGAATGTACTCACGGAAGTTCTAAGGAAATTAGTGTTGTGCTAATACAGTGCTATGACTGTTGGAAAAAAACCAAGTGGATGTGATGACTCTATAAATACACACAATATTCTTACACAATTCAGGACACGGTGTATCATTGCATTCTTATTCTGCCTCATTTAATACTCACAGAGAGACTGTAAGAAGGCTCCAGTATCACTGGCACTGACATCTTCCCTTGAAGATTCAATTTTGTTAAGTAAAAAATCTTTTCTCCCACAATCCTCTCCTTTTTCATGCGCCGCACGCTGTACAGCCGGAAGCGAACCGCGTAATTCCCAATCATCTCAGACTCCACGTGATTAAATCTGAATGTCTCTGTGAAGACAGGGCACGGTCCCCGCTGGATGCTGGTTTTTGCTCTCTGCTTCTTTATAGGGAGAAGAACTAGGTGTACTTGCCACGAGCTTCCACCTGCCCTGCTGTACGTGGGAACGTCTGTGACAGCTGTCACCGTCACCAAAAGCTTCTGTTCCTGTGAGTCATAGTCAAAAGTCACATCCAGCGTGCCGTATTTAGCGACTGGCTCAGGATCAAAAGGTTTAGGAAGCTGTGAAGATGATCCTCGAGCCGACATATCCTGAAGAACAAGAAAGCAAGCTATTTATTTATTTATTGCACACTATTATTAAATCTAGTGTGGAAATATATGGCTTTTTCCAAGCAATATGAAGGGACTATGGTCTTTTAATTCAATTTGTAAACAAGGTAATTAAACACCAAAAGCCTGAGTATGTGGCTGACTATAGCAGCCAAGACACAAAAGACTTTACCTAGTCAGTACTGCCAAAAGCCAGGAGCCAACCAGACAGAGCTCAGATTAAACTAGGCTGTACTTGATCTCTTATGTTAAAATGTATATACATTTGTTACATGATAGAACTACCTTATTTCAGTGGGAGTATACCCATATTTTACGTTGACATATTACAGTGCTTTAAGAGTTGGCTAGTTAGAGAGCACAATGAGACACCAGCAAATATACTTGCACTACTTGTGCATGCAGCTCTTTATACAGTCCGTGAGGGTTCTAGAAATGTGCCAAAAATTATAGTGGCTTTATTAATGTAATATGATTGCAGCTGTGCAAGATGCATATGTTTCGAACACGCCTTCTGAATTTTCTGTAGATGCCGTGTCCTAAAACTGTATTTTATACTAAAGATTGTTTATTTTTTCTTCAAATTTTGAACAAAATATTGACCTCCTACACTGGTACAACAGCTAGTTTAATAGTGATACTGAAACACAAAATATTTACAAGTATAGGTCAACCTACTGTTCCTATAATAAGTTATTCCAGGTATTTATTTATTGTATTCTATTACGAAATCTAGTGTGGAAATACATGGCTTTCTCTAAGCAATAAGTAAACCAAATGTATTTCCTGTATATTTTCCTATTATCAAAGACATGTTTGTTCATGTAAATGGATGCCACAATAAAGCCTTCTGGATTAAAAAAAGTAATGTTCTTATTTTAAACTGGCTGCCACATAGCTATGGGAATCCATTTCTTTGAAAGCTTCATTCTTCAAGTTGCTGAGTAGCTATAAAAAGAGTTGGCAGCATTCTCAGTTCTTATTGAGCATGCTTACATTAATGACTGGTATGATGTAAAACAGGAAGAAGTAGGACTGGATTTGCTGCAGCCTGTCAGGGTTCAAGAACCTCATGTACACACTGCCTGTCCCAGAAACGAAGTTCATACAGATTGTGGTCCTAGCTGATCACCATACATGTAGACAGCTAGCAGCTGGAGGACCTTGCAGCTGGGCCTTCCAGATGTTGCATCGACACAGCAGTCACATCAACTTACAAAGAGGTCTACTAAAACAGAAACAGCTGTTGGCACATCAGGACTGAGCCCTAAACACACTTCGACATGTCAGGTAGTGACAAAAGAAAAATTTGTACCAAAAAGCCTCTTCTGCACATGAGATCAGTAACACAGATTTATCCATAGATGTCAGTGCAGTAACTGTTTGCTAAAGACATTTGAAGGAAATACATTTCAGAAAAGATTATTTTTTTCATAGTAAAAATAAATAATCATTACAGTCCACAGAAGAAAAAAAGGAAAATCACATGCACCAAATTGCTATACTACCATCAATGATGAAAAAAAAAAGTGTTTTACATTACGGAGCGTTTGGTTTGAAAAGCATTAATAGAATATTTTTGGGGGGGTGTGTGGCTGAATAACAATGTGGAAGAAAAAGAATTTCAACTACAGTCCTCTGAGTGTGATGAAGTTTTCTGACTGTTTAGAAAATAATTCTCTGTTACTGGGAGCTTGTTTGAAAGTTAAGAGTCCATAAAAATAACTTCTAAAACCAATCCAAAATCCTATTGTAATATTTTCTGGCAAACTAGTTTTTTCTTTAAATGAGTGATCTGCAATACTAGTGTTCATATAACTGTGTATTGTTCTTTACATAAAAAAAGCTCTCAAAAGGTTGCACTGCACGATGCTTCAGAACACTCAACTATTTTCACTTACCTCTGGACTAAGGACAGCTGTGCTATCACTCGGGACATCCTCTTCATATCCTTTGTTGTGAAAGCTTTCTATTTCGTGTCCCGTGCTTCCCTCACTTGGGCACTTATATGAACATCTTGGGCTGTTGCTACACTGGGAAAATTCACATTTACTGTCTCCGACTTCCGAAGGCGTACAAGAAAGATGAGGAGAACAACTGTCATCCTGGTATGGAGGCGGCTGCAGTTCATCTAGTGGAGGTGTCCTTCTCATCCTCTGAATGCAGTTTGCTGAGAATAAGTGAAAATTCTTTACTTACTTTCAGATTATTTACTATTGAAACATTTCTGTGGAAAATGGCAAGTATAAATATCTGGACAGAATACTTAAAAATCTATAATTTTTTTTTTTACATTACCTTTCAAATTAGGCAACAAAAAGTACTAAAAATGCATTTTAAAAAATGGAAATGAATGATCTCTCAGATGAAAGATTTAGATAAATGCAAAGTATTAAATATATAGTCACAATGGATTGCATAAATCACATATAAATAAGTATAGCACAAACACGACGTGACGAAAATTCTAGGCTTGAATTTCAGGGATGCTTACCTTGCAAAAAACTTTTGTTATCTTAAGTCAGATTCTGTGCAGGCAGAATTTAGACCAGTTAAGGAAACAAAACACACTCCCTAAAGCCATGATATCAAACTTCAGATTACCTCCCATACAGTTGCTCACCCAGGGTGATATTAAATTAGACTCTGAAGACAAGTAATATACTAATAAAGGCAGACACAAGCCTTTTCATACAATGAAATCCGCTCACCAGTAAATTTAACAAGTGAAGCAGTGTTTCTGAGTCTTTATCACTTGTTAAGGACAGCTAAAGGGTATGTATCTGGTGTTCAGAAGTTAGACACTAGATCCAGTCACTAAATACAGCAGAAAAAGGATCATGACCAATCTTGTGCTTGGTATCAATACCTGATGCTGACTATCTTTGCTTCTCACACTAGATAGATAGACAGAAATGTGCTTATACATCTCCTCAGAAAATAAACCTGTTGCATGGCCATGGATATAAAAAGCTAATGCAACATAACCACATTTCGATTTTTTATCTCATATTTTATTATGCAATATTACACAGTTGGCCGGAACTGGGAAGACAGCAAGGTGTGCAGTAACTGAAATGAAAGCAATAGCAAGGATAGACAAAAACCTGTATCGCATTTTTTTTACACCTTCTGCAGAGATTTGAATGAAGATTTCAATGCTCCTCACACATAGAATTAACCTAGACACAAAAATTTCAAAGCAACGATGTTTTCTGCTGTCAGATATACCACCTTCACTCACAGAAAAAAAATTCTACCAAACAAGTAGGCTACTGAAAGTATTAACATTAGAACAAAATAAGCTTTGATTTCAGATTTATCTAAGAAAGAAACTGATCTTTTTCCCCATTTGACAAAGGTGGTACATTTTAGTTTAATCATCAAGTTTCTGTACACAGGATTGACCTGCCTGTGTCTTAAATTCTCAGCAAGCACATCAGTCTTTTAACTGCTTCAGAGGTAGTTACCAGTTGTTCAACACATCACACAACTGAACGAGTATGACCAGGAGTTACCCTTTATGGAACAAGGCTGAAAATGCAGTAATGTGGCTCTCTTGCAAAACAAACAGTCTTAGCAAAAGACTCCCTTCCTTTGGAAGTTTAGGCAGTATCTGACCATGGCATGCTGGAACATTTTACAGTATCTGGGACTTGATGTAAGCCCAGACCACCACAGTTTCAGTACACACTGTCCATGGGAAGCAAATCTGGACATGCTGGCTAGAAGAGAGACAATGTGCATTGCAGATCCCCAGATCTGGGCAACTGAAGGACAAGGACAGAACAGCCATTATGGAATGTATCTACTGCACAGATAAAAACAGGCCTGAAAGATAACCAGGGAATACTGGTCACTTCCCTGTTTCACTAGGCTCCTAATGGAACTCCTCTTTGCTTTACCTAAGGCAAATGGGTAACTACTCCCACCAGATGATATCCCTTCCAGGAATCCTCTTTTCTCTGATAAACCTGTCAGAGCCAGCCTACCATTCAGCGTAACTCCAAATTACTGTCACAGTACTCCTGCAAAAGGCCTTCTGCTGTTAGCTAGCCCAGTGCCACTAACTCTTGAAACTCCAGTCCCACAGAGCAGGCAAGGACTCCTACACTCAAAACACAGTAATTGGTCTAGCAGACAAACATAAGAGACTTATCAAGACACGATCTTGAAATGGCCATGCAGGAATGGAGAGAAAGCTTTATTTGCAAAACAGGAAGATAGATGGGAAAGCACTTTTTTTTTTAATCATCATGAAATAATAAAAAAACCCCTTTGACTATACCACGAAAACACAGCTTCCTTTACATAATTTATCTATTTTATATAATATATATTTTATATAATTTATATAATTATTCCA